AAGAACCTGGGCCACTGTGGCTCGGAGGTTCTCACCCGAATGCTCAAGGAAGTGCAGGCCACTGGTGACGTTCTGGAAGCAGCTCAGAAATATGTGTGTCCACTTTGCTATGCTCGCAAGGGACCGAAACAACCACCTCCAGCTTCAGCCCTGAAGTGCACAGAGTTCAACGAGCGCATCCAAGTTGACTCTCACTGGATCCTGAATGATGACTCAGTGATTAAAACAGCCTTGCCCGCACCGGGCACACCAGCAGCACGACGCCGCGACAAGGAGAAGGCTGAGAAGATCCCTCAGGGAAGGCGTTGTGTGCTGACCGTGGTGGATCATGCCACCAGATACTGCGCCATCAGGATCCTCAACAGCGAGAAGGCCGAGGAGTTCACAAAGGGCCTGGAGCGCTGTTGGCTGAAGCACTTTGGCATCCCGAAGATATTGAGAATTGATGAAGCCAAAGGCTGGGCATCAAAGCATGTGAATGGGCTAGCTCGAGAGGAATCACCCTAGAACTACAACCTGCCGAACAACATTCTTGGCTTGGCGTGGTGGAGCGGAAGCATCAGGTCATCAGGAGATGCCTGGAGCTATATCAAGATGAAGTTGGCAAGCACGACAAAGCATCACTTAAGGAAGCTGCCGTCTACGTGCCCCATGCCGTGAACCAGTTGAGCTTCCACAAGGGCTTCAGCCCACAACAATGGGTCTTCGGAAAGGTGATGACCCATGTGCATGGCTTGTCCGGCGAGCTCTTCAATCCTGGACAAGATGCACTCGACGAGCAAGGTGTCTTTGCAGAAGTGCAACAACGAAGGGCAGCAGCAGCTAAGGCTTTCATCGCTGCCGACTCGGACGCCAAACTTCGTCGAGCTTTCACCCAGAAGTTCCAAGAGCAGAAGGAGAGTTTGGTGGTTGGTCAGCAATGCTGGTACTGGAGAAATGCCGGAGCCGGAATCCTTCGAAAGGCCCGATGGCGTGGGCCGGCACGTGTGGTCGCGATTGAGGACAATGGTGATGCCAGAGTTCTTTGGTTATGCCATGGCACTTCACTTGTCCGTTGTGCACCTCAACAAGTTCGGCCACTGGTGGAAGACAGTGGAGCTTTTGTGCCCATCGACCGTGCAGCAGCCATGAGAGACCTGGAGGAGCTCAAGGCTAGATCCACCACCCAATTTCGTGACGAGATGAAGCGTGCTGGCATCGACCCCAAGGACATGGAGTACCAGGATTGGGATGGTGATCTCGAGGCTGACTATCAGCCAGAGGCGATGGATGAGGATGATGACGCGCAGGACGACCCAGAAATGCAGCACAACATTTTGCCTGGAATTGCGCAGGCAATCCTACCCCGTCCACGACACGAAGATCGAGAGAGATCTCCTCGACGAGGACCTGTCATCCCTCATGGACCTCCATCAGATGCCCCAACAGCTGCACCTGCCGAGCCAGAGCAGGAGCGACAAGCTGAGAGCTCTCCAAAGAGAAAGGATCACGATCCTGCTGAAGAACGACCCGCAAAGAATCCTCGTGGACCATCACCACCGACAGCTGAAGCCGGAAGCAATCCCTGTTCCAACAGATGATGAACTGGTGATTGACGAGGTCTTTGTGGTGGCGAATGAGGGCGTATAGTTGCCAGAAGGATGGAAGCTGGTGGATGGATCCTTCGAGCTTGACGAGATCTATGTGATGCAGAACCTGCGCAAAGGAGAAGTCAACATGAGGCACCTGACGCCTGATGAAGTGCTCGGAGCTGGAGCAGTACTTCCAAAACATGGTCTGGGAGTTCGCCACAGACCAGGAGAGCCAGAAAGCCGTGAACACCCACAGAGTGATCACCGCAAGATGGGTGTTGACCTGGAAGCGACTCAATGAGGACAAACCCGAAGAGCCACCCCGCTACAAGGCGAAGGCAAGACTCGTCCTACGAGGCTTTGAAGATCCCGACCTCCTGAACATCAAGACCGCGGCTCCAACAACAAGCCGCTTGGCAAGATTGTTTCTGCTGATGAGCATCACCAACTGGAACCGTTGGGAATTGATCTGCGGAGATGTGAAAGCAGCCTTTCTGTCTGGCAGTGGATTCGATAGAGTGATCATCGTGAAGCTGCCGAAGGACTGCAACCCGCTGATCGGAGGTGACAAAATCGGACCTGAAGGACACATCTACATGAAGCTGAAGAAATCAGCCTATGGTCTAGCTGATGCACCACTGATGTGGTATCGAGAAGCATCCAGCCGACTGACATCCCGTGGATGGAAGAACCACCCCCTTGACCAGTGCTGCTTCATGATGTACGAGAAGGTGAAAGGAAAAGCAGTCCTGATCGGAATGCTGGCGATCCATGTGGACGACATCCTGATCACTGGTGATCCTAGCAACGACAAGTACAAGAAGGCGATCCAACACCTCCAGAGTGACTTTAACTTTGGCAAGTGGGAACGCCTGGGCATTGACCAGCCCCTCAAGTACTGTGGTGGACAGATCTACAAGACCAAGTATGGCATCGAGGTCTCCTACCACGACTACATGAGGAAGCTGTGCCCGATCACCGTGAACAAGGGACGAAAGCCTAGTGATGAGATGAGCCCAAGTGAGACAGGAAAATATCGTGCACTCATTGGAGCTCTACAATGGCCAAGTTCACAGGGCATGCCAATGTTGGCAGCATCAGTGTCACTGCAAGCTGGTGCAGTTCCCAAGGGAACAGTTCAGGATGTCAATGAGCTGAACAAGACCTTGAGATTTGGCAAGAGCCAAGGAGATGTGACGATCAAGTTCCTGGCCAAGGAGATTGATGAGAACAAGAGCATCATCAACAGCCTGGAGAACATGACCCTGGTATGCTACGCAGACGCTGGCTTCGGAACCCGAAGGGATGGATCATCGCAAGGAGGATTCATCATCATGGCCTGCGACAAAGCCGTTCACAATGGCATCAAGGTCCCGGCAAGCACTGTGGCTTGGAGATCCTTCAAGTTGCCCCGTGTGTGCAGGAGCAGCTTGGGTGCTGAGTGTCAAGCGACAGCCACAGCATTGGAAGAGCTGCTCATGGCCAAGACCTTCCTCGAAGCACTGAAGAAGCCGGACTGCGACCTCAAGAACTTCAAGGACCATCTGACAGGCGTGAGCGCCATGGTGACGGACTGCAAGGCCCTCTATGATGCGGTCTACAGAGAGACCATCCAACAGGCAACAGACAAAAGAGTTGCCATCGAAGGGCTTGTGATAAAGGAGACATTGAGAGACCTCAATTGCAGCTGGCAATGGGTCTCATCGGAGCGACAGCTAGCTGATGGGCTGACGAAGATCAGCGCCCGACAGGCCTTCACAGAGAGATATAAGGGACACTACATCCAGCTGGTCGCCGACGAGTCCTACCAAGCAGCAAAGAAGAAGAGTCAAGAGGAGCGCCAAAAGACAGTTCAAGAGACAAGGAGAACATCCTCGAAGGTGGCAGAAGCGCTCATTGGGATGGTGATGACATCTCAAGTGACCAGCGCAAGTGGACGAGAGGATCAATGCAAGACTGACATTGAACACGTGTCCATCAACAACGACCTCTTTGACCTGGCCACGATCCTGATGATCATGCTGATGATCTTGGCGATCTTCATGATGGCTTGGAAGTGCAAGCCAAGGGCAAAGAAGGCCAAACCGGCCGATGAAAGCGAAGATGAACCAGTGCCAGAGCTGGAGCCGATCGATCACGGCGAGGAGGACGACGTGATGGGAAACATTGTGAACGAGCTGGTGGAGAAGAATGAGAGCCTACAGGCGCAGGTGAGAGAGTTGGAGAGGAAAGTCTCCTATCTGTCAGCGCTTCTGCAAAAGCGCGAGAAGAAAGAGACTGGACTGGCGACCTACAGCCACATGCCGGAAGAGGTCTTCACGACCCCAACAGGTGCTTGCGCGCACCTGCGAATCAACTGTGGCCACCTTGGTGTAAGCAAGAACGCCAAGCGATGGCGAGTGTGCAAGGACTGTGGGAGATGAAATTCTCCAGCCTTGCTTTTCACTTTTGCCCCAATGTGAAGTGTATCCATACACTTGGAGGCATGTTCATGCACTTAACCAAACCCCGCAGCGGCGGGCTGCTCGAGCGTGAAAAGAGTCAGCGGCTACGCCGCCCTAGCCCCCACACAAGTGTGTGGGATCGGTCGACCACGATCGTACGCCATCAGCGGTTGAGACTTCGTGTGCTACAACCTTGACTACCTGTTGACCCCTATTTCCAACCTAATGCATGCATAAGCGGGTAGTAAATTCACCACCCAGGTTTGCTATAACCATACACCGGCTATTTCCTCAAGACACTCTATTCCTGATACCTTTTACCAGTGCTTATCCTACACTACGGATGCCCGAGTGTATGCACAGTCCTTGTGATGCTTACCCCTCATTCCGGCTCAAGGCATACAAAGCGGGGGATAAATTTAACCCCCAGATTTGCAATAACCATAAGCCGGCTATTTCCTCAAGACACTCTATTCCATATACCTTTTACCCGTGCTTCTCCTACACTAAGGACGCCCTAGTGTATGGACAGTCCGTGTGATGTCAGAAATGCTTACCCCTCTTTCCGACTCAAGGCATACAAAAGCGGGGGGTAAACTTAACCCCCAGATTTGCCGATCACGCATCTTCGTGCCTGCCAACGAGTTCCAATGTACCCTTCCCAGTCGGAGATGTCACATGTACATTCTTCAGCGCAAAGTATGTACGTAGCAACCTTTCTCCCAAAACATGTAATCACTACATGCTTTGCCGACTATGTAACTACTGTAGTACATCCGGTGCGACTTGGCTAGCTTTCGACCTCCTCCCCCTGGCCTCAAGTTAGCTTGGAGGCCATTGCCATCATGTTGGACGCCATTGCTATTAGGTTGGAGGCCCTGGCTATTAGGTTGGAGGCCACCGCTGTTGGGTTGGAGGCCATTGCTTTCAGGTTGGAGGCCATCGCTATTGGGTTGGAAGAGAGATGTGCTTTATGGCGTTTCAGGAGGGCTCGGAGTTGCCTGAGCTGGGTCACTTCGTCTTCACCGGGGCGCCTGGCACTGGGAAGACTACAGTGGCACGTGTTATGGCCAGGAGTCTCTTTAAACTGTGGGTTTTGCTATCTCTTTGGTTTTAGTTAAGCATAACAGAGAAAGAATTTGAAGGCCATGTGCCATGTGAGTCACAGGATTCTGTTCCAGCTTCGCCTTCTTGGAAGTGAGAACGTACAAGGAGCTGGATGGTTTCCTTTTTTGTTTCTAATAGCTTCTTGTTACTACTAGTAAGGCACTTGTTCCTAGTAGCGTGGCACCTGTTACTAATAGCTTCATGTTACTGCTTTTCGGCGCCAACGATTCGTCCACTGTCCAGAAACCTCGGGGCTGAACCTGACTGGCGAGTATGTGGGGCAAACGAAAAAGAAGGTGGAAGAGAAGCTGGACGTTCCTGGCCGCAAGCTCGTGTAGAGTCGCGTCGTGGCAGTGTTTGCCGATCTCGGGCTCAGCAAACTAAAAAGGTAAGAAAATGCAAAAAAATATTTGTTTCTGGCAAACTCTTTGTGTTTTGACAAAGTGAGGCGGCCAAAGGTGGCGTTCTCTTCATTGATGAGGCTTATGAACTGGGCAAAGGGCGCTTCGGTGCAGAGGTTGTGGCCTTAAGAATGCTCTTGAAAGACTTTGCATTAATCTTCAACACGATAAACAAAAAGCAACCTTTTTTGAAGAGAAGTAAGAGAAAAAGAAAGAAGGAAGGAAGGAAAGAAAGAAAGAGCCGCAAGAACCGTAAAATTAAAACAGCAATAAGTAAACAGAAAAACAGCGCCCGCTGGCCCTTTGATGAGGCCTGTACAGCCATTGTGGCGGCCATGACAGATCCGAAGTACAAAGGCTCGAGTCTCTCGGAAGAGTGCTTTGGAAGAAAAGACAGAGCGCTTTAGACATTCTTTTCTTCCCAAATGCGTAGCGAACGGTTCTCGTTGAGCTATGCGGCGTGGTCGCAACCGTTCGCCGCCGTCCGGAACCTTTCACAGTGAGAACCACAAGCCGTTTTTGGAGAAGGTGAGCGCTTTGCATCCCCCTGCCATTGGTGTCCTCAAGGTGGTCTTTCGAAGGTGTCCCATTGTCGCTGCGCAAGTCTCAGCCCAAATTCCGATTTTGAGGGATCTATTTGGCGAGGCTTTCGTACATGTGCACGTGTTGGGGGAGGCAGTTTGCATTGGCAGGCGCAGGGAATGGTGAGGCTGCGACGTTTGGTGCAGGTGGTTGTCACTGTGCCGTTGGGGGTGCGGCGTGCTGGCAAGCCTTTTCGGGGATGCGCTTGCTCTGATGAGGCTTCCCACTGCACTTTTGGAGGACTCGCAGTTTGACTTCTGGAGGAAGTCTGGAACAACATATTTGCTTTCAATACTTGATGCGTGCGTGGCTTTTAAGAATGTTCCCTCTCCGCATAGGTCTGTGTTCATTTGGGTTCACGGGCTTCATTTTGCTTGATTTCTTCATTATACGTTCTCTTCGAGTATCCTTCTGGCCTTGTTAGAATTGAGAGAGCGGCAAAATACCACGCGCGCGCGATAGAAGGCTCGTTTTTTACACGTGTTGCATTTGGGCCATACCAACTCCATACGCTCTTGGCTTGTATATGTTAGCAGGGCATGGAAGTTCTTTGAGTCAGGCGTGGTCATCATCATTGCAGGATACCCTGGAGACATCGACAAGATGTTGAACACAAACCCAGGCGTGGATTCAACTGCGCAAGTTGAAACAAGAACGAATTGAAACAAGAACGCTTCTTTGGAAGAGCTTTAGCCTAATTCCCCACATCTCTGTGTGTGGTTCTAGTTTTGTTGGCTGCCATCCCGCCCGCATCCGCCCTTCCTTCCTTCCTTCCTTCCCTCCGTCCTCCTCGCCCCCTCCTCCACTCACTCACTCACTCACTCACTCACTGCACACTCACACTCCCAGCAGTCTGCAGAGACTCACTCACTCCACTCACCCACCCACCCACGCACTCACTCCGCAGTGTCTAGAGACTGCAGAAGGGGCTGCGGCGCGCGTGGTCGCCGCTGGGGGCCCGGCGCTCTCCGCAGTGGCCGGCGCAGTCTCCGGAGACTGCAGAAGGGCCCGCGGCGTGGTCGCCGCTGGGGGCCCCTGCGGTTCTTTACTGCCATTGAAATTTGCAAAGCAATGGTTGTGACAGGCTGCGAATCGCATTGTAATGGCTGCGGCAAGGATGTGCGCACCCTGTGTCTGTGCACTACTGCCATTGTAATTTCCACAGTATTGGTTCTCGCCGGTTCGGAATCGCATTGTAAATGCTGCGACAAGAATCACCTCACCTCGCCTCACTCACCACTCACTCTACTTACTCTCACTCACTCACTCTCACTCACTCACTCGCTCGCTCACTCACTCACTCCACTCACTCACTCACTCACTCACTCACTCCACTCACTCACTCACTCCACTCACTCCACTCACTCACTCCACTCACTCACTCACTCACTCCACTCACTCCACTCACTCCACTCACTCACTCACTCCACTCACTCCACTCACTCCACTCACTCCACTCACTCACTCACTCCACTCACTCCACTCACTCCACTCACTCCACTCACTC